TTTTGTGACTCTAAAAGGTAAATCTTTCACGTGGACAGCATGGTCCAGCTGTTAGGGTGGTCTCCTCTGTTGACTTATTTAACCCCACATCCGTTTCATAAGTGTGACAAAATTCTTGCTGAAGGATACCTCCCAGTGATTGTTGCCCAAATCTAAGATGGAGACCATTTCTCAGAGTTGTTAATTTTTCTTTTAAATAGGCAAAACATATACCTGCTAAGAAAATCCAACCAGTTAGAGAGTTGATAGTCTAATCTCATGGGCAGAATTGGCCATTAACATCACCAGGAAGCAGCTCCCTGCCCAGGTCATTGACCACTTTGAAATGGCTTCAGTATTTGCATCCCCAAAATGAAATGAGATCATGTGTGTTAATAGTTGGGTTATTATTACCGATTATATAACTGGAGCCTATTAATATTGCTGGGGAGCCCCAGTGAATGGTGTTTGGCCAAAGAAGCTTGGTTCCTGCCCCTGCAGAAGACTGTCTCCTGCCTCCTTGTGGTTCAAGGGAAGGGTGTGGGGACAGGGTGGGAGGGCGGTGACCCTGGTGACCTGTAGGGTGGGACTTGTGATTTGAGTTGGATCACCTCCTTCAGCCCGAAGCCAGTGGTTGAGGTTCGACTGCATCTTCTACACTGTAAGTTAGAATTGGGATTTGCCAGGCAGAAGGCGTGACAGACCCCAACACCGGTGACAGGTAAGCCTTACCACCTAACAGTCTCAGTGACCAAGATGAGAAACTACCAGTTATCCTCTGCTTCTGAAAGATGGGGGCCCTGGAAATGACCTCATACAGTTGTTGTGAAGTTTGGATTAAATAATCTAAGTATCACCCTTCTGGTTAATGGGTATTTGTCACAATTTGCATAATTCTGTAGAGTTACAAGCTAAGAGGTCAGGTAAGGGGAGTCTCATAGAATGCACAGTTGAACTTCATTCAGGTCACCTCGTTCCATGTTAGAAGGATCAGGAAATGGCTCAGAGAAGGAAAGTAAGCTGCTCTAGGTCACACAGCTCTTAGCCTCTTAGGGTCTCTTATTCTCTTAAGGGTCAGAGCCTCATCCTTCCTTTCTTGGCTGCTGTTCTGGATCTGACACTCCTTGATCCCCTAGAACTGCTTCCTTCAGCTGTGCCTGGAGGTGTACATTTAAATAAGGTTGCTTTGCTGGTCGTCACCCCAGCAGCAGTGTGGCGTCTACACTCCGGGAAAACCCAGGCCAAGCGGCTGCCGGGAGAGCTAACCTCGTGCCGCCGCCCAGCCCGGGCCAGGGGGCGGCCGTGGGCGGCGGCGGCGGCGTCCCCTGGCGCTGGCCGGGTGCGCTTCCCCGTCGCCGCCGCGGCCTCCCTCCGCCTCCCTGGCGGCGGCCGCGCCGCGCGGGTGTTCAGTTTCAGCGCGGGGATGAGCGCAGGCTGCGCCCGGCTCCCCGAGGAAGGAAGGCGGCGCGCGAGGGCCCCAGCGTCCTCGGCCGGGGCCTGGCAGCGCCGTGGAGGGGGCTCGGCTCCCGTCGCCGCCGGGGCCGGGCGCGCGTCGAGCCGCCGCCGCCGAAGGGGACGCCCGGGAGCCGCGCCGCCGCCGCCGAGGGTAACCGCGGGCGGGCCGGGCGGGCGTCCCTGCGCTGCGCCCGCTCCTTTGTGGCGCTCCGGGCGGGGTGTGGGTGGCCTCCAGCCCGCGGGCTGCGCGGCCGGCGTCGCGGAGCTGCTCTTTGTGTCTCCCGGGGCGGGTGCAAGTGTGGAGTGTATGCGTTCGCGCCCGCGCGGCGCCTCCAGCCCGCCACCCGGTGACAGCTTTCCAGGGCCCACCCCGCCAGACCTTTGCCCGAGGGGACAGCGGCTGGGCCACCCAGGGGGAGTTTCTTTAAGTTGGAGGGGAAAGGGCTGGGTGAGGCGGCCCGCCCGCGCAGCCCCAGGCAGCGCACCCCGAAGTTGCTGCTGCAGGTGCAGCGCCCCCTCCTTCCCCGCTCCTCCCCGCCACCTCGGGCCTTGGAGGGCGGGAATCCCTCAAGGGCTCAGCTGGAGGGGGGCTCCCGATTTTCAGTCGCCAACTTGGGTGCCCTCCTGCACGGAAGCCACCTGGGCAGGGGCGTTCGGGTGGGAGGTTGTCCGGGCAGGGGGCCCCCCCGAGACTGTTGCGGAAGCCGGGCTGGCGTGCGGGCGGCGGGCGGCGGGGAGAGCTCAGCGGCCGTGGCACCAAGCCGGGGTGCCCATGTGACTGCGGTGTGCTTGGGAAGAGGAAGCTGTAGAGGTCAGTGCAAAGGCGTCACGCCAGAGCGAACAGGAGCGAGTGGGGAGCCCCAAGTCGGTGCAGGCTGGAGTCTGGGGTGGCCTGTAGGGGCCAGGGCAAAACCACCCTGTCACAGCCACCCTGGCTGTTCTAAGGCTCGCAATCACAGGGTGGGAGGGGCAGCCCAGGGCTGGCTGCCAGGAAATGAGGGACATCAGAAGGAGGGGCCACTTCAGGAGAGGCTGGTCTGGAAGTGGCCTCCCCTGGCCCCAAGGGGCCTCCGCTGATGTTGGAGGGTGACCCTGAAAGCAGATCAGACACAGACTCAACTTGGATAACTTTCCCTACACACAGCAGTCAGGAATCCCCATTTTCCACGTGCTGTGGAGGTTAGGGCTGGGGGCTGAGGTTGAGCTGAGTCTGGGTGAGGATTTTGGGCCAGGCAGTCATGGGGCACGGATCTGGGGAGCCAAACACCCTTCCTGTCCTCTGCTGTGGGCACCCTTGGTGGGTTCTAGCTGCAGTCTGAAGGCAGCTCGCAGGTTCCCCGGCTCCACCCTGCACTCACTTAAATTGTTTTCTCTAAACTGTTCAGCTGAGGCCTGGAGGGGGTGGAAACCAAGGTTAGATTAAAAAAAGAAAAGGAAAAACCAAACCTAGATGAAGAGGTGGTTTTAGGGAAATGAGGACTAATATTTTGAAGTGGTGCTTAGAAGAGGCCAGTGGTGTCCGTGGGGGTGGGGTGAGTGAGGGCTTCAGGACCCCCCCATTCCTTGGAGAGAAGAGGCTCTCAGAGGCCTTCAGTCTGGGGACGCGCCTGGCCCAGGGCGGATAGGCAGGAGGGCGTGGAACCCAGAGTGAGGACTTCAGCAGCCCTAGTGCCAGCTTCGTGACAGCCTGCGTCCTGGGCTGTCAACTACACCCCTCCGATGGGGTTGCTAGGCAGCGGGGCTCTGATGTACTGGAAGGCCTTCTGATTTGTCAGCCTCCTGCAGACACATGGTTAAGGCTCCTTCCAGCCTATCCGGAGGAGGGACGCGGGGCACGCTGCCTGCATACTGCCGAGCCCCAGGTCCACCTGAACGCAAGGTGCACAAGGCAGCCAGCAGGAGGGGCCCAGCCCTGCCGCCTGCTAACCAGCCCAGCCCCATGCCCCCATTCTCTCCACTCAGGCTTGCTGCTGGCTCCTCCCAGCCCGTCCCCGCCCCATTCCTCCCCTCATCCCCAAACCATGAAAAGCAAAGTGCAGCAGGGAAAAGAGGTCAGTGGGGTAAGCGTGTGCGCGGGCCTCTGGAGGTGCCAAGGTGCATGGGCATGAGCGGAGGGGAGGCTGCCCCCATCTGTGCCATCCAGGGCTCTTGTGGGAAGGGGTGAGTGGTGGTGGGGGGCCCTGGCACTGTTGTCCTCCAGGCCTGGACTTGGAAGCCTGCTCTGTGCCCCCTCCTCAAGCTCTGCCCACCCCTAGGAAGGCAGCAGAGGAGAGGGACTGGTGTGATCCTGTCAGGAAGGGTGGACTCTGGCTCTCCCTGGGGCTCTGGAGGGAGGGAAGTCCTTCTTCCCCCCAGCATATGCCCTCCACCCCAGCCTGGAGGTCCAGCTCCTCTCCCCCTCCCTGCCTAGCCAACACCCCCAGGGCTTCTGTTAAATCTCTTCACTTTCTTTTTTTTTCTAAACGGCTTTATTGAGATAAAATTCCCATACCATTCACCCGTGAAAAGTGTGCTGTCCAGTGGTTTCAGTGTGTTCACAGAGTTGTGCAACCACAATCAATTTTAGAACCAGTGTGAACCCCTGCACTCATTAGCGTTGTTCCCCATTCCGCCCACCCCAGCCCCTGGCCCCCACCCATCTATCTGCTGCCTCTGTGGATTTGCCTTCTTAGGACATTTCATAGGTGGTATCACACTGTGTGGGCCTTCATGGCCTGTCCCTCTTGGCTTCTAGCTGCGTCGCTTACTTGGAGTTGCAGATCCTCTTGCCACGTCGCTGTCCCTGTCTGTGCCTTGCTCCATCCACAGGGTCTTATGCATTCTTGTTCATTTCTCTCAGTGCCCTGTCTCACTGGGGGCTGGCCCACTGGTTGAGTGAGTGAGGTGAATAGGAACTAGTAATTGGCAAGCTATGCAGGTGGTTTACAACTGAATTCCAGGGGGCCCAGCTGCTATAGGGGGGGCTGGCAGATTGGGAGAACTGTGGGTATCAGAGCTGTGAAAGAGCAGAGAGAAAGCCTCGTAGTTGGTTGGGGGTGGGGCAGAGGTGGACACTGACAACGAAGGAGTCTATGGGTAGCCACCACTCTCAGGAACCTGACAACAAAAATGTCATCCCCAGATGGGTGCCATGGCGCACGCCTGTAATTCCAGCAGCTCGGGAAGCTGAGGCAAGAGGATCATGAATTCAAATCCAGCTTCAGCAACAGCGAGGTGCTAAGCAACTCAGTGAGACCCTGTCTCTAAGTAAAATTACAAGAAAGTGCTAGGGATGTGGCTCAGTGGTTGAGTGCCCCTGAGTTCAATCCCCAGTACCACCCCCCCTTAAAAAAAATAATGCCATCCCCAGTCTTGGGGGTTTGGTGGCCTATGATTGAGGTTTGTCACCTGATCACAGGGGCATCCCCTCTGGGGGAACTCCCATGTAGATTTGAATTTTAAAAAAAGGAAAGGAAATTTCCCAGCATCAGCATGTATAAAAGGCACCAGGTCAGACAGCTCTGAAGGGTTGCCCACCTCCTGCGACTGCATTAAACTCCTGTCCCCTCCCCTCTTCTGTGCTGCAGGTATTGTCTGATGAGCGTGAAGGGCTGTTTCACTGATTTCCACATCGACTTTGGAGGCACTTCTGTGTGGTACCATGTTTTCCGGGGTGGGAAGGTGAGTTCCGATGATTCTCCAATTGTTTGTGTGTCTCTCACTCTTTGAGCACAGAGGGCTCACTTACCTGTCCCCTTCCTTTTGCACCTTTCCTCTAGCCAGCCCTGCCCCGTGAGTACTTTCAGGGCCACTCCATCTCCTAGGACCATCTGTGGACTCTCTGCCTCCTTCTGGAGGGCAAGGTCAATGCTACCAGTTGTTTGGCATAATGTCGGGTTATCCATTCCCTCCGACTTGCCCAGTTCAGTGTCCTGAGCACCTTCAGCCAGTTTGGAGCTGAGCTTGACTTCCAATAAGCTCCAGCCCAGGGATCTTTCAACTTCAGAGTCTAGTGCCAGCAGCACCTGCCTCAAAAATGCTTTATACCACCTGAGCCGGGAGGGGGGGGTGTGCGTTCAGGGTGCTCCCAATGGGTCTTTTCTGTGTGTGTGTCCAAGTGCGGATATAGGTGTCCATGTGCGGATGTAGGTGTCCCTGCACGGACGTGGGTGCCTCTGGAGAATGTCTGTGTGCCTCCCTGCTCGTCTGGGTCAGCATGTGCATTTGTTTTGAGAGAACATGTTGGAAGAGAGTCTGGGAGGAAGTCAACCCACTTGATTCCAGATGTTTTTTTCTCCTTCTCCAAAGTGAGAGCAAGCTGGGTTTATTTATTGGGCCATTTTATCATACAACTTAGGAAATTCCCTTCCTCTCCTTCCCCCACCTCCCATTCTCTGTGGCTCAAGAGGATGTGCCCCTACGCCCTCAGCACAGACAGTATTCCTCTCCTGGCATTTCAGCGGGAATGGAGATGCCCTAAAGCTGACCTGAGTCCTCCCTGCTTCCTCAGAGGCCCTTTAGACCTGATCTTGGAGGGGACCCAGGGGCTTGGGGGATGAAGCTTCTCCCCTCCTTGCCCCCCCCCCCCCGCCCCCAGGCAGGTGAGGCTGCCTGGATTGTGTCAGGGCCTGGAAGAAATCGGAGACTGGCTGATGACATCTTTTCCTCCCAAGATCTTTTGGCTGATCCCACCAACCCTGCACAACTTGGCGCTGTATGAGGAGTGGGTGCTGTCAGGCAAACAGAGCGACATCTTCCTGGGAGACCGTGTGGAACGATGCCAAAGAATTGAGCTGAAGCAGGGCTACACGTTTTTCATCCCTTCCGGTAGGTTCTGGCGTGGCTGGCCCTGGGCTCTGGTCTGCCACTGGCTCCCCCAGCTTTCAGAACCACGTTCTGCAGCCCAGTGGCCTCAACAGGGTTTGAGGCCGAGGGAGTGGGCTTCAGGTGCTGGGAAAGATGTAACCTACATGTCTGTGCCTATGGGCTAGAATGTCTATCCTTGAGAAGGCCTCAGGCCCTGCCTTGGGGGAACTCTTCATGTCTTCCCTGGGACTTCCTCGGGAGATTTCTGTGTGAGATGATGACAGCGACCCTTTAGGTGCCGTGGTGGGTGCACCCCATATATTTGGGATGCAAGTTCTGGGGAAGTGCAGTGAATAGTGTCAGTTGAAATTGTGGCTGTGTTGCTTATGAGCTGTGACTGCCTCTCTATGCCTCTGCTCCCATCTGTGGAATGGGAGTAGGGCTTCAGGGTGGTTGTGAGGACTGAGTAAGCTGAGATCTACCTGCCTGCCATTCTTTGGAGATGGACTGAAGGCTTTTGGCTGGTTATAGGCTGAGTCACTAGTGGATGTGGCTGAAGACCTAGGAGTCATGTTCTAGGTCTTGGGCTGCATTAACACAAGCATTCTATCCAGGTTGAGATAGGTTACAGTCCAACCATGCATAGAGTGAAGGAGTCAGGCCACATGTGGGAGGTTGTGTACCTCTTGGTCATTATACTTTGGAGGGGAGGTTAATATTAAGAGAAAGGAATCTAGAAACCACATCAGGTAACCTGAGAAACAGATGTGTGGTAACTATAGTTAGCCAGGTGAAGGATTGTCTCCTGGAAGAAGGTATAGCTGAGTGGTGCTGGGATGACTTGCTCTGTGTGTAGGTAGTGAGGTCTCCGCCACTGAAGATATACAAGTAGAAAGTAGCTATCGGTGTCTCAAGGAGATTAGGGGAACTGCCACTGGGTGGAAGTGTGTACCAGAGGATAAGGGTATCCTTGAGACCACGGAGATCCATTGCATGGACAAGCTGGCTACACTTAGGTTGCTGCACATTGACCTTGGGTCTGGCCGTGGAGCAGGAGGGCTGTGGTTGTGGCAGTAGTTCTCACAGTGGAGGAAGGGCCTGCACATCAGAGCTCTTCTAGCAGATTGGGCAGAAGGTGGAGACTGCCCTATTAGGAAAATGTGGGAATTGGGGGTGGCAGGGTTCAGCGGGGGTGACTCTGTTACCGTGGCCCCAGGCCCCTGCTTGAGACAGAAGGGATAGCACTTTGTGGGCAGCAGGTATGTGGACCCTGCAGAGTGGTGTGGAGCCTTGGGCAGGAGGTGGGTCCTGGAGTGTGCTCCAGCCCATGCAGGTGTTGTGGGGTGTGGGGGGGACACACACAGCCCTGGTCACTCTCTGTGACCTTCCTATTTCTGTGCCTCAACTATTGCATCTCTACAGAGGGAGTGGTGTCCTGGGACTGAACTCTGGGACCCTCGAGATCCCTCCCATCCCTGTTCCCTCAGCTCCGGCCCTGTGCAGAACTGGGAGGGGGCTGGTCATTCTGTTGACTGGTGACTTCCACTCGTTGGGGAAGGTCCTGGGAAGCATCACAGCCACAGAAGGTATATAACTGTCTTGAGGGCTGGAAGAGATGTGGCTTTGAACCCCAGCAAGCAGGGGTTAGACCCCAGCAAAAACATAGCAAGGCCCTAAGCAATTTAGTGAGACTTTGTCTCAGAAATAAAAAAAATAAATAAAAAGAGCTGAGGATGTAGTTCATTGGTTAAGCACCCTTGAGTTCAATCTCTGGTACAAGGAAAAAAAAAAAAAAAGAAGAAAGAAAGAAAGTTAGAGAAAGTGAAGATAAGAGACCATTGGAATTTACCACCTGCCTCCTGGTGGTGGTGTGGGAGGGGTGGTAACAAAATAAATCGGTGGTCCCCAGGCATCATTTGTTGGACCAATGAATTAAAAAAAAAAAGTTGGGATCTGATATAGAATTACAATTTTGCTAAAGATGGACATGAATTAAAAACACGAGGGCTGTAGCTCCGTGGTAGAGCACCTGTCTAGAGCGCACAATCCCCAGCACTGCAAAACCCAACAAAACCAAGAGCAAAAAACCTACTCATGTAATCCTGCTGTTTCATGACCATTCCTGCAGTAAAGCAGGTGACATGCAGCCCCACCTTGACATCCCTGGTGGTTGGTTCTAGTACCCTCGGTGGATACCAAGCTCTGTCTCCAGATGACTGACGGTACCCAGAGCAGGGTCAACGCTGTGCCAACAGTTGCTATGCGGTATTGTTTAAGGGATAATGACAAGGAAAGCCTTGTCTGTGTACGTTCAGTACAGATGCAATTTGTTTGGATATTTTTGATCTGCAGTTGGTTGAAAGTGTAGATGCAGAAGGTGCGGATGAGCACAGACGACAGGAAGAAACTAGAGAATAAGGGATGGTACTTTAATTCTGGTAGTTTCATGTGTATGAAAATCTATGCCATCTTTAGTTTTCTCATTCTATTGCCAACCAGTGAAAATCAAAAGACCCACAGGACATAGACGAATGTTTTGGCTCCTCTGGGGACTTCAGATTTTCTCTTGTGTCCACACCCTGTGAGCCATGACACACCCACATCTGAGATTTGGGGTAGTTGGTTGTGGCTTCGGGTGGAGAGGGAGCCTTGGGGATTCCAGGAAGGGTTGGCAGCCTCCTGAGACGAGCTTTTCCTTACTGGAGAATCTAATTTGGGCATTTCCTGCTTCTGACCTGGGTGTTCTGTCCCCTGGTGTGACTTTAGGTGCTTGTCTCACCTCATGCTACCCTCAATTCCCCCCCCCCCCCAATCTGTCCTTGAGTAAGTCCTCTTCAGTTCTCTGAAAGCCCATGGGACACTGATGAGTTAGGAAGATTTTAAATGGTGCAGTATTTTTTGTGAGATGTGATTGAACTTTTTGGCTTGTGTCTGAGGGGCTGTGGTCAGGGCTGTTCATTCTTCAAGCCTCATTCCTGGACAGTCCTGGAGAGCTGCCTGGGAGAGGAAGACTGTTGACAGGTGACTGAGAAGCCGTTCGACCCCTTGTGTCATGAAATTTCTTCATTTTGTAACATGAGTTGAATCAAACTAAACATGTCCCTGGATCTGATACAGTCCGTGGTGTGCCAGTTTGGGTTACTGCTACCAGCTACGAGGTCCTCACTTCATGTTGGCAGCCCCAGGGCCCACCCAGGGCCTGACCCTACACAGGATGCTCATCAGTGCTCAGGAGTGAAGCCAGGGCCCCGGTGAGTCATGGGCCTCTGTGGGTCGTGAACCTCTGTGTGAAGCACCTCTACTGGAGGAGGCAGCTGTACGGAGGGGGCTTTTGATTCTGAATCCTGAATATCCGTTGTGGGTGAGACTCCTTATGCCTTCACTGCCCTTCTTGGCCCCCTCAGGTCCTAGAGATCAGCCTGGCGGTGGGTTTTGTGGATTGCTGCTCTCCTTCCATGAGTGCATCTGTCCCTTGTCACTTGGCCTGAATAGCCTCTGTTTATTGCCATCATATTGCTGATGGCTCTGGACTGAAAACTGATGGCAGATGCCAGCCTCCCCTGTCCAGCCACCAGCCCGGGACACCTGCTCTCAGATTTCCTGGAGCATTGTTATGAGCGGGCTGCCTTTGGGAGGGTAGGCAAGGATGGGGCTCATGACGGCTGTGGTTTCTCCTCCTGGGTTCTTCCTGAGGCCAGCATTTGGGCAGTGAGGCAGATGTGAGCAGGCGGGGGAGGGATTCAGCAGCCACTGTAATCCAGGGCAGGCCACCTGACCTACCAGGGAGCCCTGGGGTCAGAAGAAGCTTCCAGAATCCCTCAAATGTTGGGGTGTGCAGATTCCCTCCTCCCTTCCTGCAGTGGCAACTCCCGTCTGTTTCCCTCTTTGCTCACACATTGGGCTCATGGATATAAGCCAGGTGCGTCTGCGGCTCCACCTGCCAGGAGAATAGGGAGAGTCTGAGGCTGATTAATACAGATTTCCATGTGTGCCAGCCTTTCCCAGACCCTCGTGATTGGCAAGAACATCACAATCAGTGACACATTCCCTACACAGTGAGTTCTCCACCAGGAAGGGAGTGCTCTCCTTCTTGTCAGGCAGGACACTGAGGCCAGGGGAGGGGGCAGTCGCATGCTCTTGTCACACGGTGATCAGGGCTGGGGGCAGCCTGGAACACCGGCCACTGGGTTGGGCTTTGTGGAGGGAGGGAGGTGGGCACGGGAGGAAGTGTGAGACCAGGAAGAGCAGCCGGCAGGCAGCAGAGGCTGGAGACTGAAGAACTATGGGGGCCGAGGCCTTTCAGAGGCGCAGCCTTTGTCTTTCTGCACAGAGGGTATGAGGGCCCAGGTGGCTTGCAGTGGCACACCTGGCCCACGGAGTAGCTGCATTTGATGGCCAAGCCGGAGCCTGGGAGTGAAAGGCAGAGCCGGGCTGGTAAAGGGAAGCCTCTGTTCCTATGCCTGGGGGTGGCTGCCTCCTACACCATCTTTCCCTTGCTCTCCCCTGAGGACCGCCAGGTCTGCCCTGGTAGGAAGGGCCAGCAGCCGAGTGTCCAGCTGAGGTCTCAGCCTCCCTATGCTCTTCCCAGGTGGCGGCTCTGCTCCTAGCAGCGGTGGCCGCCTATGACTCAGGGCTGGCATGTCACAGCTCACAGGGGAGCGACTCAACTGCTTGGGCTTGTGGGGAGAGGCAGATTAGGTCTCTCCCTGTCATTTTCCTTTGAGTAAAAGACTTAGGCACATAGGGTTTGGGGGTGCAGTTCAGTGGTACAGCGCTTGCCTAGCAAGTGCGAGGCCCTAGGTTTGATTCCCAGCGCTGCAAAAGCAAACAAACCGAACAAAACCAAAAAAGAAACAGAATTAGGCACACAGATGGACGGGAGAAGAGTCTTGGGTGGCTGCTGCCCTTGCCCACTTGCCCCCTCCCCTCCGACTGACCTCCCTCTGTCTCCCACTGGGGCTTGTTCTGCCTCTGTCTGCCCTTGTCTCTGCCTCTGTCTCTTATTTCTCACCGTGTTTCTCCTTTTGCCTCTCCTGTGTGTTTCCATGCCTGTCCCCTGGGACTTCCCAGCTAAAAAGGGAGCTGCTTCTCTTGTCAGCTGCGACTTTGCTCAGCGAGTGGCTGGCCTCCTCTGAGCCTCAGTTTCAGCATCTGTAAATTGGACTCGATGCAAAGCTCTCTAGCCCCTCACTTTGCCTCTATCTGGCAACCTGGAGCCATGTCGGTCTCTCAGGCGCTTGGCAGGATGGCCAGCCTGAACTGAGGGGTGGCTGTTGGATGAATTCTGCATCTTTCTTTGTCCCTAGCGGGATCAAGCAGAGGCTGACTGCCTGGGTTCAAAATCCCCACGGTGACTTGACTTTTCTGTGCCTTGGTTTCTTCGTGTATTCGGGTTGAATACATGTCTTTGAGAGGGCTTCTGGGAGAATTAATGAGCCGAGGAAAGGTCTGGAAAGTCTTGAGGCTGTGCCTGGCACAAGTGAGTATTTCAGTATCCTTACTGTGGTGACTGTGGGGCTGTGGCCTGGGATCCCAGGGAGATGAACAGCCAGGGCCCATGCTGTTGAAGCTGCAGTCTGCAGGAAAGAGGCCTGTCAGGCCGCTCAGCATCGGGGGCCTAGTGGAAGCAGAGCTGAGATGGGGCGCAGGCATCGTGTGGCGAAGGAGGCCACCTGGAAATGTGCCTGGAGGATTCAATGACAAGTTGTACTCTGCAGAGGAAAGTGTCTGGGTCCTGCCTCTCTGGCAAGATATCACTCCTTTGTTGTGGCTCTGAGCTGTCCTGGTGCTTGTGGCAATGATGAGAAAAAGTCTCGGGACAGATGTGCAGCCTGGGAGGGGTGTTTCCAGCTGCCTAGCCAGCGTGGAAGCTGGGAACAGGGCCTGACTCTCTATTGGCTGCCATAGCGGGGTCCCAGGAGAAAGACTTGGCCCTCAAGGTCCTCGAGGTCGGGCTTGGTCTGCAGCTTCTACCACCTGACTAGAAGTAGCCAGGGGCCACTGTGGCTGCCAGCCCAGTTCCTCTAAGCTAACCAGGAGTCTTGGCTTTCTACACCAACTATCTCTCTGTGTTGGAATTCTCCCAGCCCTAGGCACACACTCGCGGCACCCCCAGGCCCTCCTGAGTGCCATCTTTCCCTCCCTCAGGCCTTGGGTGGAGAGGAGTCCCCAGGGGACTGGAGGCTCATCTTCCTTTACCCTCTGCACCCCAGGTTGGATCCACGCAGTCTACACCCCCGTAGACTCCCTGGTGTTCGGTGGGAACATCCTGCATAGCTTCAACGTGCCCATGCAGCTGCGGATCTACGAGATCGAGGACAGAACCCGGGTAAGGAGGCTTCCTTCTCTCCTGGGGGTGGTGGTGGTGGTGCCAACCATTATGAAGTCCTCTGCAGTCCCCCTTTCTCTCTTACTCCCTGTCTTGAGCCAGGCCTGGATTGTAGTCTTACAGGGTGGAGGGGAGGGTATCCCCAAAGAGTCCCTCAAGTTTTTTGATCATCTCCAGACAAAAGGCAGCCAAGCCTCCTTGTGGAAGAGGAAGTATCTCTTGAGAAAACAGCATAAGATATCAGGAACTTAGCCCTTTTCTTCTCCTGTGAGGAAGGGGGTATGAGGGGCTGGGGGATCTTATTGTTGCTGATGTTTGGAGGCCTTGGAAAGAGGGTCTACCCTGGTCCAAATTCAGGAATTATTGGCTATGCCTTCTCCCTGGGGACCTGAAATCTGATGGAGAGGAAGCCTGAATTCCCCCAGGTCCCCTCTCCGAGCTAGTCTCAGTGCCTACTGGGGACATTTCAAGGTCTTTGAGGCCAAGGCTTTCCTCTGCCTTTGACAGTGACAATTTCTCTTATATCGGGTCTCCCCAACCCATGCCCCAGGACCAAGGGTCTATGTGTGTCCTGTGTTCCTTGAGTTTCCCCTACAGAGCTCTGGTGGCTGGGAACTTACCACCCGCTTTCCCCATTCTGGGGCTTGAGCAAGCGTCCCCAGGTATCTGAGACAAGACCAAGGGTTGGAAACTGGATCCCTGGGGCAAAGAGGGGCCATTTCTTTCTCTCTTTCTCTCTCTCTCTTTCTCTCTCTCTCTCTCTTTTTAACATGGCTATTTCAATGTTTCTTTTGAGATATAATTCATATAACCATAAAATCTACATTCAAAGTGCACAAATCGGGGTTTTTAGTATCTTCACAACATTGTGTAACCATCGCCGCTAGTTCCAGAACATTTCATCGCCCTAAAAAGAAACCTCGTACCCATCAGCTGTCACTCCCCATCCCACCCATTCTGCTCCAACAGCCCCCAATCAACTCTCTGTATGGATTTGCCTATTCTGGACATTGGCTATAAATGGAATTGGACAATATGTGTTCTTTTGTGTCTGGCTCTCACTTTGCATGGTGTTTTCAAGGTCACCCTACACTGCCATGTGTATCAATGCATCGTTCCTTCTTAGGGCTCAGCACCCTCCATTGTGGGGGTAGATGGTACCCTTTCTTCTTGGGATTTGCCTTGGAGTTACCTCTTTTGGGCCTCAGAGAGGCACTGATATGCCTGGACCCTAAAGAAGCATCTCACAAAAGAGCAGCTCTGGGCCAAGTCCATCTTCCTGATCTTTTTTTCAGGCCCAGGTCTTCTTCATGGAATCACATCCTTGAGTCAAAGTCTTAGCCACTATGTGAACCGGACCCCTTCAATAGTCCTGATGTGGAGGGGCCTGGTCCAGAGGTTCTCTGGAGACGACCCAAAGCCCTGGTGGGCAGTCATGCATACTCCAAGGGCATGTGGACATTTGCAGCTGGTGTATTTGCTGCCTGTGATGCCCAGGTCTTCAGACACTGGGTTCTGTGACTCTGTGCAAACCCCTTGTTTGTGGGCTTTCTCCCCTCTGTCACCCACCCTACCCTCCTGTCCTGGTCTGGAAAGACCAGCCCAGCCCTGATCTGGAGTGTGCTACTCTGGGCTGTCCAGGGGAAGGCACAGTTGAGGCCCAAGTGGTGTCTCACAGTCTGGGTCAGTGCTGTCTGGGGCTCAGGCCAACTGTTCTTTGGCCCTGAAGAGCAGGCCAATTTGTGAGCATACCAGCAGGTGTGGATAGAAACAGAACAGTCTAGAGCGGGAGGTCAAGCTTAGGACTTTCCAGGCAATTCCTGAAAGCCAGAGTCAGGCTGGGATTTCTAAAGACTTTGGCAACTTGCTGGGCAGCCGTCCCCTCCCCTGGGAATCTGAGCATGTATCTCAGAGGATCTGGGCCCCATCATTCCCAGAGAAGCCAGCTCCCTCCCCCACTGGCGGTGCTCAAGGCAGGAGGCAGGCTTCACGCTTAGCTCTTGTGGAATATTGTGTCCATATTGAGATGTGTGGCAGGGCCCCTCCCCCAAGACCCCCTGTCCCTGTCCTCTGAGTGGGCACCCCATCTGGTTTCCTTGGAGCAGGTTGCCAGATGGGGGGATGGGGACAGGCTGACGGGCAGGCTGGGCTGGAACCAGCGGCAGGCTTTTTAATCTGCTTTGATTTCTGGTCTTTGGAGAGGGGCTTGGCTACAAGGCTCAATTGTTTATGTCTTAGGAGCCAAGGCAGACAAAAGGCACTGCAGAGAGAGTCCTAGAAGCCAGATAAAATGCCAGGGCTCCTTGTCAGCTCGCTACAGCTTAATTCTTTGCATCCCCCTGAGCTCCCTTAAGAAGGTTATCATCATTTAAAAATAGTTTTTCCCGGGCTGGGGAATATAGCTCAGTGGTGGAGCACTTGCCTAGCATGTATAAGGCCCTGGGTTCAATCCCCAGCACCGCAAAGGAATGAATAAATAAAAAGTAGTTTTTCCAAAAGTCCTTAAACCTGGCTTTGCTTGTGGAAACTACATGCAGGAGGTGGGCCGGAGGACTCTCAGACTAAAAGGCCCGTGATGTAGGTTTATGTTAGAAAAGGAATTTGCCTTTGTGGCTGAAGATGGGGGACCCTCATCCCGACTGGAAAGCCCTGAGATTCTCCAGGAGGTCATGTCTTGCTCTCACTGTTGTAATTTTTCTGGGCTGGATGGTAGGTGACCTCACCTGGCAGTGTCACTGCCAGTAAGGTGGCAGGTCAGGTACAGCCTTAGTGCCTGGTGGATTTCCACTCCCTCCCCACTCTGAAGATAAGAATGATGGACGAAGTGTCCTGGTATGGATGTGATATGCTGGTCTTCTAAGATAATGTCATGATCACGATGCGCTTTTAAATCCGGTTAGGTTAATAAGGGACAGGGATGGTCCAAATGATCACTCATCAAACTGCTGCGTCTCTTATACTTATCTTTTTTTCCCCCCTGCTAATGGCTTTAGTGAAAGCAGCCTTCCCAGAAAAGGTAATGCCGACATATCCATTCCCTCGCAGCCAGCAAATCTGTTTGGAAATTGCAAATAATTTACCCTTCCTCTCCCCCTCCCTACCCCCCCGCTATTGGATTTTTTCCCCCATTGATTTTTTTTTTTTCCAGGAGAAAAACAAATTTTAAGGCACTTCCACCCACCCTTGTGTTTGACTTGTGCAACTCCTTGAGACCTGGGAGTTCTAGATGCACTGAGACACCTCGGCTGTCATCTCCAAAGGCCGTTCAGATATCAGATGACTGAGGCCTCCAAAGTGGGGCTCAGGCCAGGTGCCCCTCGAATGGGCCTTTGGAACTCAAATTGAACCTTGTGATCACCCCTCAGTGCATGCCTTTTCTGACTGCCTTGCCCTGCATTTTGGACTGAGGTCAGTTAACAACTCAGTTTGGTGAGGCTCCGAGTTTGTCACCAAATAATATTGAGCAATCGTGTGTTTAATGTTCCCAGGCATGTGGCTGAAACCTTTTGAAGGCGAAGGGTGGAAGGCGACAACCCGTTTGTAAGTCAACTCTTTGCAAATTTTGTTCTGCGCAGTCTCCTCTCTTGGAAAAAAAAATTAAAAATAAAAACAAAAAACAAAAAAACCCCTCAAATTCCTTCATCAGCATTTATTTTCACCCAGCTGGTTTCCCTTGGGTTCAGCAACAAACAGGGGAGATTTATCTTCCCCTCCTGAAATACAGCCCCTCCATGTTTTTGGTTTTTTTTCCTAATCTAGGAAGATTCTCAGGCATCACAGTGCTCATCCATGGCACAGTGGCTTGGATGATGTCAAAAAATTTGAAAAGTCAAAATGAACTCAGAGTTTTACCAGTCAAGTAAAGATATACCAGTGAGAGCCTGTCTCCTCAGCTTGCATTTGAGGGATTGGTGATTTGTTTCAAAATTCCAATGGGGGGGAGGAGCTGAAGACCCCCAAACCCTTTGTCACAGGTGGTCAAGGTCTGCTTCATGCTGAAGAGCCCCTCTCTTTTGTAATCTCCAGGGGACATGGATCCATTAACTGTGCAAAAAGATTAATACCACAGCAATAAAACTGGGCTTCTCAGAAAGTAGCTGGAGCCAAGGAAAACGCTAGGTTATGATCCCACCTCCATGCATCTCCCCAAGGAGCTGGAAAGCATGCGACGGCCATGACCTCATTCCAAAGCATACCACCCACCAGAGGCAGGGAGTGCAAATGGACCCAATGGGAGGCCTCAGAAACTAAGCTAGCAGGCAAGGGCAAGGAGCAGAGGGCAGGTGGGAGCTTTTCCAGGTGGGTGCCTGGAGAACAGCAGGTGTGCTTGTATTTGTCTCCATCCCAGAGGTAGAGCGCTGTCTTATATTGTCAGCAGACAGGGGAGCTGGGCTGGCAGAGCGTGTTTGCTTAACCTCCAACTCCCTGAGTTCCTGGTGGGTGAAAGAGGTGAGGGGGTTTCTGACTGGCACAGACAGACCCTTGGCAGGAGAGCTAGAGAGCAGGCCAGGGGCGAGCACGGTCGAGCAAGACCCCCGTGTAGTGTCTGGAGAAGAGGGCCCTGCCGTGAGAGATGGGGACCACCCTCAACATCCTTGCTCTTCCCTCACCCACTCAGGATGCAGTTTCCAGAAGGCTTCTCTGTGCCAGGGTATTGCTTCCTTCCCATCTTCTGCTGCCATTTCCACTGTGCAGATCCCGCACTGCCACCCATCGGAATTCCCCCCACCCCTGGGGAGCCAAACCTTTTAGATTCCATCCACTCTCTCACCTTTACTTCCCCCCATAAGAAACATCCAAGGGGGCCCTCCATGTGGACTTCCAGGTGTGTGCGCCCTGGTGTCAGGATGTCTGCGTCATGCCAGGGACTTGTGCCCTAGGGAGCCCTTGGTAGCAATACAGGCTGGGGCAGCACAGGTGGTGTGGGGAGGAGCAGGAGGTGGACACCTGAGGCCCCCGCCCCTGGAGGTAGGTGAGGCCATACCCCATCTTCATTGGTTCTCCCCACAGCCTCCCTCCCAGAGTGCAGGAGGAGGGTGTTCCATAGCCTGTCTGCAGATGGGTAAGGCTTGGGGTGGGTTTCTCCCTTTAAATGGGGAGGGAGAGACAGCAGAGTCTGTGCAAGAACATTCTAGAACAAGGAGCCCATGTATGTTGTAAGCTGGGGTCAGGCTGGGCTCCCCCCTACAGATTCCCATAGCCACTGTCAGCAAGGCAGGAGACAGCTCTGTTTGCCTGCATCTCACAGAAGCACAAAGTCAAGCCCTCCACCTTCCTGGGTGTGCAGCCTGGGGACCTCTGAAGCGATGCCCTCACCCAGGCTTCTTCCTCTGCCTCATCGGTGCATGCTGCTGGCATCCTCCCTTCCAGCGCCTGCCTCCCTCCTCCCCTCCAGTGACACCCCCCATTTTTCCCTGCCGCCATTTGTGCTCTTGCTAAGATGATAAGAGTGACCCCAACCTATGGAACCTGCCCCTGCTTCTCTCCCTCCTGTCCCCGTGGCCCTCGGAAACTGACCTGTGCCCACCTGGTCTCTGCTTCTAGGTGCAGCCCAAGTTCCGTTACCCCTTCTACTATGAGATGTGCTGGTATGTGTTGGAGAGATATGTGTACTGTGTGACTCAGCGCTCCTACCTCACTCAGGAATACCAGAGAGAGTCCATGCTCGTTGGTGAGTGACCCCCAGAGCCCTCGGACAGTCCTCACGGCTGGGGCAAGAGTTGTCTCTTCATTGGGGACTGGGGACAGTCTAGGATTCAGGGGATTCTTTTGAGCCAGAGTGTTGGGCAGAATCCTAGACGTCCCTCAGGGGAAGGCAACCTTGCCAGGTTCTCAACTGGAATACAGAAGCCAAGAAAAAGAACCCATGACCCCCAAGGAGTCACTTTGTCACCTCCAACTCACGGCTATGCAGATGGGGGGAGTAGCAGGTCACCAGCAGGTTACAGAAGCAGGACCGTCCCACAGAGCAAAGAATCCTGGTTCTTTTTCTTCCCCTGTGGTCACCAGCTGACACCCCCATACAGACACTCCCTGGGGGTTGGGTTTTGCTCTAACTGAGCAGACCCGTGCGCAGGCCTTCCACACAATCCAGGCTGCCTTTGTGCTGCAGCAGTGGTGGCGAAGCTAGCTTGGAGGCACAGGGGAGTGTTCAGAGCTGCAGCTGCTGTGCCCTGCACGGCCACTGGTACTTAAAGGGACATCATCCCTGCTGCATGGCTGTTTTTTAATCTTTTTTTTTTGGTATTGGGGATTGAATTCAGGGCACTTTACCATTGAGCTACATTCCCAGCCCTTTTTATTTTTTTGACACAAGGATCTCCCTAAGTTGCTAAGATTAGCCTCGAACCTGTAGTCCTCCTGCCTCTCTGCCTCCCAAATGGCTACATTAAGGCGTGCGCCACCACACCCAGCTTATCCTTGAGTCTTGACTCATAGATGCCAGCTCTGGAGTTGTGTCTAGCAGTGACAGTGAGCCGTGACCTGCAATATGTAGGAAGAGCACAATTCTTTCCATCTGTGTTGCTGAGCTGCTAGTGCTGAGGGGTTTTCCTGGATGTCATATATCCCATCTCAGATGTGAGATTGGTTCGTCTCTCCTAAGGTCTCGTGATTTCTCCTGCAATCTCCGATGTGTAGCACATTCACGCGCCCCCATAAGCTTTCTTCCTCTGCTTCTTTGGCTCCCATCCTTGCTGACTTGTGGGGGTTCAGGCTGGGCATGGAATGGCAACGAATGTTCCTGCTGGGATCATTACAGGGTAGCATTCATTTGCCACCTGGGATGTCAGCTTTGTCTGTGGGAACTGTTGAGAGTCTTGTTCACGTCAGGTGATGGCAATATCGGTGTGTTGGAAAATCCTGAAGCCTCACAACTTTCTCTTCTGGGGGCTCCCAGCTGCGCAGGAGAGATGGGAAATAACCCAGAAATAGCAGGATGTCCGCAGTGACTGCAGCAGCTACCTGCTTTTGTGGGGTCCAGAGGCTGGGGAGAGTGGAAGGACTTCTGATTTTGTGGCAGTTCCCCAAACTGGAAACAGAGGGTCTGTTCTCTTGCTTGGATATTTAGGGTAATAGAAGAACATTTCTCGTTCTGTTAGCAGAAACAGAGGACTCCCGAGGCTTTTGGGTAATCAGTGCCCGCTTTTGGTTTACATTTTCTTGCCACTGTTTTGCCCCTGGCCCTTCTGGCGCCTCTGCCAAAGAGAGGGAGAGGAGTTAGGGAGGCATCTGGTTTATCGTCTGACACTTGCATGCTGGAGCTGGCTCGGTGCTGCTTGATTAATCCTCAACCTTCGCCTTGTATTTAGTTTCCTCTGTGCGGTACTGGGACTGAGGATCAAATCCATGGTGCTCTGCGACTGCATCCCTAGCTATTTATTTTGAAACAGGGTCTTGCTAATTGCTAGGCTGGCCTGGAACTTGCAGTTCTTCTGTCTCGTTCTCCCAAGTAGCTGGGATTGCAGGTGTGGGCCACAGAGCCCAGCTGCCTTTCCCCCCGCCTCTTCCTGTGGGGCTGGGGATCAAACCCAGGACTGGGTGCATGATGGCAAGCACAGCAGCACTGTGCTACACCCTCAGTCCACACCTTGCAGTTTTTTTATGTGTGGTGCTGGGGATTGAACCCAGGGCCTTATGCATTCGAGGCAAGCACTCTACCAAGTGAGTTACATCCCCAGCCCATACACCTTGTGTTTTTAAAACAGCTCTATTGGGATGAGGTTCACATATCATATGATTTACCCATTTAACGTGTGTAGTTCAGTGGATTTTAGCAGATTCACACATGTGTGAACAACTGTCACCACAATTAGTTTTACAGCATTTTCATCACCCAAAAAGAAAGCAGTGCCATTTAGCTTTCATCTCCTTATCTCTCCTTCTATACCCCAGCCCTAGGCAACTACTAATCTACTATATTATTATAATTTTTTCCTTCTTCATTTCGTTTCTGCAGTGCTGGGGATTAAACCCAGGGCCCCATGCATGCTGGTTAAGCAGTCTACCACTGAGCTACACCCCCAGACCATTTTAAATTTTTTTTGAGACAGGATCTTGCTGTTATGATCCTTACTTGTGATCCTCCTGCCTCAGCCTGTCGAGTTACTGGGATAACAGATGTGTGCCATTGCACCAAGAACTAATCTACTTTCTTGTCTGTAGAGATTTATACATTAGGGACTCTGGATTAAACCCAGAGGCACTTAACCACCGAGCCACATCCCCAGCCATTTTTTGTATTTTTAAAAAATTTTATTTAGTTTTAGGTGAACACACAGTATCTTTATTTATTTTTATGTGGTGCTGAAGATTGAGCCGAGTGCCTCCATGCGAGGCAAGCACTTTACCACTGAGCTACAGCCTCTGCACCCACTTTTTTGTATTTATTTAAAGACAGGGTCTCACTGAGTTGCTTAGGGCCTCTTCAAGTGGCTGAGGCTGGCCTTAAACTTGCAGTCCTATCTCAGCCTCCCAGGTGGCTGGGACTATAGGTGTGTGCCACTGTGCCAGGATCATTAGGGACTTTTCATACCATTGGAATCAGATGACACATGGTCTTTTTTATACACTCAATAAATTGCCAGTTATGATGAGAGGTGTGAAACAACCTCTCTCAACACATAGCCAGGAAGAAGCAGAGTTGGGATGTGAACCTACGTCCAGCTAACCACAGTCTTTCTGGAGGTCGGGAGGTGGAGGTCCTCAGGATCTTCAGAGAAGGCTGATTTCTACAGTGGGGGCAGGGGGTGTAGAGAAAGGAGTTCCAGAACTTCCACAGGGGTTGGTGATCATTGTCTGTCTTACCCCTGCAGATGCCCCAAGAAAGGCCAGCATAGACGGCTTCTCATCTGATTCCTGGTTGGACATGGAGGAAGAGTCCTGTGAGCAGCAGCCCCAGGAGGAGGAGAAGGAGGAGGAGGGGGATGGGGCAGATAAGGTGCCCAAGCTGCCAGCGGATGGCCCTGCCTCCCCCACCAGCACCCCCTCCGAGGAGCAGGAGAACCTTGGCAAGAAGCCTAAAGCACCTGCCATGCAGTTCCTCAAAAGGACCTTGTCCAATGAGTCAGAGGACAGCGTGAAGTCTACCACGATGCCCATAGACTACCCCAAGACACCCAGCGGCTCTCCTGCCACCGAGGTCTCCACCAAATGGACCCACCTCACTGAATTTGAACTGAAGGGCCTGAAAGCCCTGGTGGAGAAACTTGAGTCCCTCCCAGAGAACAAGAAGTGTGTCCCCGAGGGCATCGAGGACCCCCAGGCCCTCCTGGAGGGCGTGAAGGTGGGCAGGGGTCATGGCTGGGGAGATGGGCAGGTTCTTTCCATTGTGACAGCAAGCAGCTTGGCTCAGGATGGCTTAGTGCACATGTTCAGAGGATCACCCAAGTGCAAGGAGGGCCTCTGTCCAGACAGGACTGCCTAGGGCACCTGAGCAGGGGTCACCATTAATGGCTGCAGAGGGACTTCCTGGTAGCAGCTGGCTCTGTGGTTGGCAGCAGATTCTTTCATTGTACTTGTTGGAAGGCTGAGGTCTTGCTGGCTGAGGGGTTGAGTGTGGCAGTAATTTGGTTTCTCCCTCCTGGTCAAAAGGACTTGCCACTGTGGCTGGTTCCCTGGAGTGTGTATCTGTGTCATGTGAATAGGTTGTATATCCCAGTGGTCTTCTTCCAGCTAATGTGGTTACCACATGATGGCCTGAGGTTCAGAGGTCTTTGTTTTCATCTTCATTTAACCAATGAGGGTATAGGCTCAGAGAGGTTAAGGGAAGTCTCAGATATGAGGATGCAGGAGAGAGTATCCACCCACACAGAACTGCCTCCTGTCTCAGTGTGGCTAAGGCTCTGGTGTAAGGCTGCAGAGACATTTGGGCTTCCTCCTGCAATGTCTGATGCCCAGGGAAAGCCACCTGCCTTCTGGGGCTGCAAACTGAACTTGCCTCTTCTTTAGGAATTGGTCGTACATTTGTTCTTTCAGGAAACATTGTGTTGGGCCCTGGGGTACAGAACTATTAGTACTATTCCTGCCATCGAGGGGCTCACTGACCAAGGACTGAACTTTGGGGGTCAAAGACCTGGGATCTGCATCAGGTAGCCTGGCAGGTGCTATCAGTAGAGGGTGCTGATGTACAAAACCCCTAACTCCAACCTTGTTTTATTTTTTGCGGTGCTGGGGATTGAACCCAGGGCCTCCTGCATGCCAAGCAGGTGCTCTAAGAGTAAGCCACATGCATGGAAATCTATTTCAGTTCATGATCCCTGCCCCGCTTTCCTCTTATCCTCCCCTGCGCCCACCCCTCCCAGCAGATCTTTACTTGTGAATGGGTCTTTTTCATTACTTTATGAGTTTTGGAGGTTGCTGACCTCTTTTTTTTTTTTTAATATTTATTTTTTAGTATTTGGCGGACACAACATCTTTGTCTGTATGTGGTGCTGAGGATCGAACCCGGGCCGCATGCATGCCAGGCAAGCACGCTACCGCTTGAGCCACATCCCAAGCCCGGTTGCTGACCTCTTAAGAGTTTTATGAAAATAAAACTCTCCACCCTCCAAAAATTTATAAAATTTTCCATGCAACATTAAGAGATCTTGGACTCAGGCTAGGGTTGTGGCTCAGTGGTAGAGCGCTTGTCTTGCTTGCGTGAGGCACTGGGTTCGATCCTCAGCACCATATAAATAAATAAAGGTATTGTGCCCATCTACAACTTAAAAAAAAAAAAGTCTTAAAAAAAAATGGCAAGACTTGATTAAAAAAAAATAAAAATAAAGAGAGAGAGAGAGACAGACAGAGAGATATCTTGGGCTCCTAAGCCCATTCCTGGAGTGAAAGATCTTGGGCTCCTAAGCCCATTTCCTAATCTTGCTGTGTGTCGTCTATGCCCTCTCCCAACCCTTCACCCAGTAGCTCTACCACTGAATTACACCCCCATTCCTAACTGTGCTTTTTTAAAAATTCATTTGTGGTAGTGGGGATCAAAGTTGGGGCCTAATGTATGCTTGGCAGGCACTATCCGCTGAGCTATATCCCCAGCCCTTTTTAAATTTTATTTTGAGACATGCTCTAAGTTGCTGAAGCTGTCCTTGAACTTGAAATCTTCCTATCTCAGCCCCTGAGATGCTGGGATTACAGGCATGTGCCATGGTATCTGGCTCTAAATGTGCTTTTTTTTTTTTTTTAATTTTTTATTAGTTATTGATGGACCTTTATTTATTTATTTGTTTATGTGTTGTGCTGAGAATCGAACCCAGTGCCTCACACATGCTAGGCAGGCACTCTACCACTGAGCCACAACCCCAGCCTTTTTTTTTTTTTTAATATTTATTTTTCAGTTTTAGGTGGACACAATATCTTTATTTTACATTTATGTGGTGTTGAGGATCGAACTCAATGCCTTGTGAATGCTAGGTGGGCGCTCTACCACTTAGCCACATCCCCAGCCCTATTTAATGTTAGATTTCCTAAAGGAAACCTTAGGATTCTTTCATGTGGCTACTTTTTTTTCCTTCTGAGATCCCTTAAAATGAAAACAAAGGTATTTTCATCAATCATAAAATAATGAATGGCATTGGGTTCTGGAAATATTGCAAATGGTTTAAAAACTGATTCATCTGAAGAAGAAATGGTCTGTACTTTTGGAAAAACCCCCTTTTTAATTTTTATTATTATTATAAAATACCTCATGTGTCCTATCCTAGTAGCTGAGTCGTCAGATTTCTTTCTGGAGATGAGACTTGGCCCCGACTCTGGCCCTCACCTGTACCTCCAGATGTATCTCTAAGGCTGGATCCAGCCTAGACCTCTTGATGCTGTGGAGGAAGCCTGGGGCAGGCAGGGGCTTAGACAAAATGCAAAGAGCCCAGTGCCCTGCCCTGAGGTTCAGTGGCAGCTCATGATTGTGTGTGTGATTCTATCAGTGACTGCATGTAGTGCAGGTGTTTCTGTGTGTAAACTAGCAACCCTTGGTGGTACTTTTTTTTTCTTAAAGATTATTTAAAGGGCTGGGATTGTGGCTCAGCAGTAGAGCTCATGCCTAGCATGAGCAGGACCTGGGTTCGATTCTTAGCACCGCATAAAAATAAAGGCATGTTGTATCCATCTACAAAAAAAAAAAAAGATGATTTAAAAAAATTTTTTTTTAGTTGTAAATGGACAATAATACTCTTTATTTTTATATGGTGCCAAAGATCAAACCCAGTCCTTCACACATGCTAGGCAAGTGCTCTACCACTGAGCTACTTTTATTATCTTCATCTTACAGATGAGACAATTGAGGAACAAGAGAGGTTAAAAGTAACTGGCCTAGGCTACACTTGCTGTTCAATGGGTGGGCGGGGGGGGGGGCGTGTGCCCACTGTTGCCATACTGTTTTGTTTTAGTGGATATACAGAAAGAGATTTTCTCACTTCTCAAGAGGTCACCAACATTCAGGGAGATACCGAGGTGGCTGCTTGGTCTTCTCTACAGAACAAGCAACAGATTTGGTCCAAAAATATAAGTTGTATATCGGCAGCTCCTGGGATCAAATCTAGACTCCAGGCATTGCATTTGGCCTACAGAGTATGAAACATAGTTTGTAAATAGCTGCCAACATTAAGAAATATGGAGCTGGGTGCCAATGGTGCAGGCCTGTAATACCAGTATCTCTGGAGGCTGAGGCAGGAGGATCACCAGTTCAAAGCCAGCCTCAGCAACTTAGTGAGGCCCTAAGCAACTTAGTGAGACCCAGTCTCTAAATAAAATGTAAAAAAGGACTAGGGATGTGGCTTAGTGGTTAAGTACCCTTGGGCTCAATTCCTGGTGCCAGAAAAAGAAAGAAAAAAAGATGGGGAGTTATATAAGTTTCCTGGTCCACGTTCCTCGTTGACTGCAATCACAGGAGGGTAGCAGTTGACCCTGTGTGTCCCAGTCCCCACCACTCCCTACTGTTTCCCTGAGTGTCACTTGCTGCTTACCATTAGTTTGGCGAAGTCTCTTTTTCACACACCCTAGCCGCTTAGCTCATTTATTGAACTTAACTGTCTCTAGAGATATTTATATTCCTGAGCATTGTCTGAGCGGCTCTTTCAGGCTAAAGAGCTTGTAAACTGGGTGCACTACCCTCCTTAGGGCCCCAGGAAAACAGAAGTTCCCCTAATGTCTCAATGCTCTGTGGTCAGGTGCCTGCGAGGGGAAGGCGTCTTCAAGAGCGGAGAGTTCCTGGTTGTCTGGACAGGCCATTTGCTCTTCACTATCCCACAAACCCTGACAAGGTTCTGAACCAGGGACTCACCTTGGGAACTGTTGTCACAGAAAGTGGGCAGCCCCTTCTTCCCAGTTGTGTGCTCTCGTCTCTTTAGTTTTCTCTTAGATGGTGGGGATTCTTTGGCCTTGGTTGAGGTGGGGTGGGGGGGGAGACACACAGCTCAGGAATTGGATTGGAGACAGAAGTCACTGCTGATGCCCACGTCCACTGCTGTTGTTGAATGATTCCTGCTTCTGGCCAGAGGTGGTTCTCCCTGGTGATTGACTAGTTTCGATCTTTGGCTTGTGTTCCAGAAAATAGTCCCTGTCCTCTGTCTTCCTCTGGAATCTCAGAGGTACTGCTCACGGTGGCTCATAGTGACTAGAGTCCCTGGGATTGGAGGGGCTCTTTCTGACTCTGGTTCAGTTCCTTGATGGCTAGTTTTGGCTTTTACCACCCCCCCACTTTTTATTGGTTTTGTTTTGTTTCATTTGTAATTTTTTTTTTAATTGTAGGAAAATACAGCAAGCACAAGTTTTACCATTTTAAGTGTCCAGCTCAGCGGTGTTAAGTACATTCACAATACAGTGCAACTGTCACCTCTGTCTAGTTCCAGAACCTTTTCAGCACTTCAAACAGAATCCCATGCCCATTAGAGATCACTTCCCACCTCCAACCTCAACCAGCTTTCTGTCCGGGTTCTGGATATTTTATTGTGACTCAGTTCTAAATTATGACATTTGCTTCTAAAAATTATTTCTGTGGCCTGGTACGGGTGGGACATGCCTGTGATCCCAGCAGCTTGGGAGGCCGAGGCAGGAGAATGGAGAATTCAAAGCCAGCCTCAGCAACTCTCGGCAACTTAGCAAGGCCCTTTGTACCTCCCCTCCCCAATATTTTTGTCAAGTTGTAAGCATGACAGTATTACATGATCCAAATAAAAGATTTAACAAACAATTAGAATCTGAGGATAGAAAATATCCCCCTTTTCTCACATCCGGCAGGTAACTAACCATCAAAAGGATGACTTCTAGAGTTTTCTTCTCACCGCCACGTATTTAAAC